TGTGTGTGTGTGTGTGTGTGTGTGTGTGTGTGTGTGTGTGTTTAGGTTAAAAGAGTTATTTTAAAAATGTGTAATTTCTATCTTTATATGGTTCTTAGCACTAAAAATAGAGAATATGTACTGTAACTAATGTGAGTTTTTATTCATTTCTAGTCTGTCGAGATCAATTTGGACTTTGTTTGTTCTGTGATATGAAGTGGAATTTCTGTTCTGTGTTAAAGATTACAGATGCAGATTCATATTAAGAGATTAAATATTTGACTTTTTTCAGTCATTCTAAATTCTCCTTTAAAGGGCTGCAGTGATCTATGTTTTTTCTTCATCGTTCCACCTTTTTGGTGTGCCTAGAAAAGCTATTAAATAATTTTAATAGCTTGATGTTTTTGTCACAGGTATATCTTTCAAAATGTAAAATTTGTTCCCTTTCATAAGCATATCAGGCAGAGGCACATTAAAGATAAGAGGAAAGTGCGCTTTTATGCACCGTGTTCCCAGACTTTGGTTTTCTGGGCATAACAGCCATTTTTCAGACACAATAGTAATAGCAAATATGACCTTTGGGTGCCAATATGAGCTATAATGAGTTGTGATATGAATAGAGAGTGCAGAGAGCGTTCAGTGACCATGTTAGTAAAACAAAACATGACCAGACCAATTTCACAGACTTCACATTCAGAGTTTTTTATTTATTTATTTATGTTTTTTTATTCTTTCAGCTGCAGCCAAAAGCAAACAGAACAAAACAGACAGTGCCTTTCATATGTAATGCTGAAGAAATGAGCATTGTTGCTCAATACTGCCTGCAGTGTTTTAATTAAATATTCTGTTACATCTGAATTAACATAATCAGCTTGTTTAGATTTGAGGAGACAAATATTATAAATGAAAGCACAAGCCACTCATTTGTGTACATATCAGCCACAGCACCAAATGGAGTGCAAATCCCCTTAAAAATGATAGTTCACTCAAAACTTCTGTCATTTATTCTGTTATTTATTAACCATTTTCATATTTTGTAGAATGTTAGTAATAAAAAAAAATCTTGGTGCCCATTGAATTCCACTGAAAGGTAAAAAAATATATATATTAAAAATATCTGTAACACTTTATTGTAAGGTTCCATTAGTTAATGTTAATGTATTAACTAACATAAACAATGAACAATACATTTATTACAGTATTTATTAATCTTTGTTAATGTTAGTTAATGAAAATATAGTTGTTCATTGTTAGTTCACATTAATTCACAGTGCATTAACTAATGTTAACAAGCACAACTTTTGATTTTAATAATGCATTAGTAAATGTTGAAATTAACATGAACTAAGATTAATAAATGCTGTAGAAGTATTGTTCATGCTTAGTTCATGTTAACTAAAGTATTTAGCTAATGTTAACTAATGAACCTTGTTGTAAAGTTTTACCAAAGTATCTTCTGTTATGTCTCAATGAAAAAAAAAAGTCATAAGGTTTTGAACGAGGGTTAGTAAATGATGACACAATTTTCATTTTTTGAGTGAACTATTCCTTTGGTAAAATTACTGTAGTGCACAGGCTTTTTTTTATATATAAATCTGACAACAGCAATTTGATAAAAGATACAAATATTCAGTATATTATTGATAATATTCAAAATAATTATTATTTTAATTGATATAATTCATTAGCATAACTGTAGGATGGTATAGTTATCAAGTAATGCAGCAACTTGGCACATTGATAAAAAATTAAATTGATGTGCAATCACTTTTACAGTGGCTTTTATTGTGGGTTGTCCGATCAAATAGTAGTCTTTAAAAAAAATTATTGTGATAGGCGTTTGCAGATCCTGCAAAAGGCATGGAAATGAATGAAATCTTAAAAAGTCAAGAAAATGGCTAGAGCAAATAGCTTTTTTCTAGCTATACACAACTCTAAAATATTGGATAGAGATTGTTTGTTGTGAATGCTTTTTAAAAATCCTTGTTTGGAAAATTTGAATGACAGGAGAAGTCATGGAGATCGTGTGGTGAAAATGTGTGGGATTATACTATAGAACAACATGTGTGTCATGTGCTTCCAGCTAGGCCTGTCGCGATAATTAAATAACTGTCTAATCGCGATTATTTGATCTAACCGATTATTGTGTTTTTTATATGAGACAAGGGGGAGTCATACACCAAAAGAAACAGAAGAGCACCAGTTTGCTTTTCATGCACTGTATAGCCTGTACAGGGCTCCAGACTCATTCTTCCCACTGGTCCTTTTGCAACTAACTTTCTCAGCTGGTCACACGAGCACATGATTTGGTCGCAAATTTTTATTTTTTTATTTTTTTGGCTACAACATTGGGATTATTCAGTGCATGCTGATGAACTTTTATCATAGTTTATAGTTATATGGAAACGAAAGTGGTTAACATTCAACCCGTTTTTTTATCATCAGTAGTATTATTTGTGATTTGAATTTTGTGAATGGGAGTTTCTCTTTTGCTGTGTTAAGCCACGGGCTTCAGATGCTTTCACTTTCGAATTCGCGATCTTGTTGTCACTGTTTTGCTTAAATACATCTACACACCTTTCATTTTTTTAAGACTAAAACAAAAGATGGATTCATTGTTATTCTTAATTAAAAAGCACAACAACAATAAATCAAGATACAATGACAACTAGCTTACAAAACGTTTATTAACAAAAACGAATAAGATGAGGCATGGCACACACCACATGCTGTATTATATACCAACTAATAAATTACAGAACGTTTAGCAAACACTGAGGAATTAAATAAATAAATAAAAGAGAGCCTCCATAGCTTAATGTGAGATAAACAGCAAAGATAAGTTTTTCAAAAATGAAAACGAAAAGAAAAGTAAAACTAACGGTGCTTGCATGTTTTTTTCACACAAGAATACCAGCATGTTCACCTTCTCTGGTTTAAGAAGCGGTCTTTTACTTGACTTTCGCTTGAAAACCATCCATCGTTTCCTCAATATGCGCGTCATTTTTGCTGCGCGCACCTTCGCGCTCGTGCTGACGCGGCGAGTATACTCTCTAAGTGCTGTTTCGTTATGCTTTCAGTTTCGTTTGCCGTTTGATGTTTCTCATATGCAACAGAAATTGCAGCGCTTATGAGTTGACCAACGCGGTGGTCGCGCCAGTGCGACCGCGCACAAAATTTAGTCGCACAGGCAGAAAAAATGGTCGCAGTCTGGAGCCCTGCTATATCATCTGAAGCCATTCCATATCTTAATGTGAGGGACAGAATTTAGGTTTACAGAAACTCATCTTCCTTCTGCTGCAGCTGTCAGTCATTCTCCGCTCAGCATTCAAACAGCACGTCACGTTCAGTTATGACAGTCAGCACGGTAAAACTCTCTCTCCAAGATGATATATTTCCATTATAATACTTTAAGTTTAAGGAAGGAAGGAATTATCACAAACAGAAAGATTATTAGAAGCCTTCTGGTTTCTATCTTATATTCATGAATGTATTTTGTAAGAATACAAATAGTTAACAGAATAAACATGTTTAAATTGTATAATGTGCACCAAAACATTTTTTTTTCAAGATCACAGTCAGCTAGTTTAATTTCATAGCTTATATATTTTTATTCAAATGTAGTTTTTCTCTGTAATGAGGAAGTGAGTATTTAGTGGATTGCGTTTAACAAAGGGTTTAAAAGAGTGACCATTATTTCCACAAACACAGTATTGATATTCTGTAGTGGTGTAGAAAAAAATAGCGCTGGGGTTGGATCGGTATTGGCCAATTCTTAGAATTTGGAATACTCTGTGTAATCTTACAC